GAAGTATTAGCTAGGGTAAAAAAAAGACAGTTAATCAACACCTAATTCTGGTTTGAATACTGGATCCCCCACAACAGAAGTGGGGCATGGAATAAAGACAACTGGTCCCCACAAAAAGTAGAATTTCAAGCACACTCTTATTGCTCTAAAAAGTAGCATTTATACAATGCCATGGTTCATCAATTGTACCAGGCAACAAGATTTTCAATCTGCTGATTCAAGGCAGTCAAGTCTAGTGTCTGCACTGTGTTTACAACGTAATTTTATGATGTGAAAAATACTCAAAAATGCCTCCTAATTAACAGATGTTGAGCACACGCTGCAATTATTCAGCTCAGAATTTGGCAGAATCAATGCCTGAGAAATTAAGAGTAAATTCCATTGTCAGCTATCTGTGTCTGCTACCATATGAACCTTTCCACTGTTGGCTCATTCTTGGGATGCCTCCCCAGAAATGTTTGTTCAGTGACAGCATCAAGTTATGATATTTTTACTGTTGCATTCTGCTTGTGTCGGATTCAGTGCCTGTTTTAGTACCGGGCCTGTCTGTTATTTTAATACAGGTTATTATTGCATTTCATTGTTCTTTTTCTTTTATTTTAGATTTCTCATTTTGTAAGGTGCCGTGTGAGCTTTTGTGAAGTCTTAAATAGGCACATCTGCTTCAATAAAATTCAACACAGTAGTATACTTGGATTGCCTGTAACAATACATAGCATTTATACAGAATATGTACGTACGTATGTATGTATGTACATATCTATGCAGCATTTATATATATGCCAGCGATTAATGACCATTTATAATGGTCTCTATACAAGGGAATAAATTTTATTTGTTTGTTCATTTATTTCATTAGATTTCTTGACTGCCCTTCCCCACTTACGCGTGGCTCAGGGCAGTTTACAACAAAATAATTCAATAAATTAAAACCAATTTGAACCATAAAAATTCAAGCTTTAAAACATTCAAACATAAATATCTGAAAAACACTTTAAACTAAATTAAATTAAATTAAATTAATAGAGAGGAATATCTTAGCTTCCGAGATCTGGCTAGCCTGGCCCATCCAAGTTTGCTCTCTTGATTCCACAGCACTGCTGAGACCTGTAAATTATCCATAACAAAATCTATAGGGCTTCCGTGAAAATGTGTGGAGGAATGGGCTGCATATTTGCAATCCCATACTCAGCTAATCCCATTGAGATACATGTAAAAAAAAGCCTCAAAATGGAGCCTATTATCTCATATTACATTTTCACAGCAAAAGCTCAGATGTCTTTGCAGAACGGCTAGCAGTGTGCCTAATCTGAGCACAGTTTACAACAGGGCAACAGCTTCAGGTGGGTAACTTCTGGCTTCGTGTTGCTGGCCACTGCATGAAACCAGATGTTGGTCAGATCCAGCTTGGCTGCTCTTATTTTCTTACAAGTGGGGGCCCCATGAAGATTTGCAGGGAGGAATCTCATTCACCCACTCCCTCTTTCCCGTTTGCTCTTCTTTTTTACCTCCCCTAGAAGCACCTGCAGCCTCCCCCCTTTCCTTCTCTCCCTCCCACACATCTACCTATTCTTTTCTGTTTCTCAATTCCTCAGCCCCCCCCCTTCCTCACCCATCTCCATCTGTTCCCTTCTCCCACTTCACATTTTCATTTTATCCTTTTTTTTTGGTCATCCCTTCTCCAGTTTTAGCTTCCCTTTCTCCTGTCTCTCCCCCACACTGGCACAAACCAAAGTTTGGAAGCCTCAGCAGTGTTGGTTGGAAGCCCCCGAATGGAAACCAACAGATCTCAGTGGCATTCTTCTTTTAAAGATGGCACTGCTTTTATTCTTTTTCAGGGTTTAACCCCCCCCCCCCATCATATTTTTTTTTCTGCAAAGCAGGGTCTTCCCTCAGGCTTGCAGAAAAATATTCCCAATCGGAATATGATTTTTTTGATTCACACCACCAAAAGTGGATATAACAAGCAGGGGACCCACGAGACTCAAGGGAGGAGAACCCCATTCTCCCCCCCCCCGCTTGCTGAGCTGCCCACTCACTGGACAGCCTGACTGCAGCCGCTCTCAGGGCGGGGTGGCTCCCCACTCCTCCCTTACCTGCCTACAGCATCATTTGTCTCCACCTACCTAAGAAGGCAGTGCAGCAAATTCTTCTTGATGCCATAATTCCAACACCAATATAGGATGATCAACATATCCTAGGATGTTAAATGCTCTGTTTCATCTGTGCCCTTTTAACTGGTGTAGCTAAAGCTTCAAGAAAAGTTTCGGTGCTATATACAAAGATAGAGTGACAGCTGTATCTGAAGAACTGAGCAGTGACTCATGAAAGCTCATACGCTGCCACATATTTTGTTAGTCTTTAAGGTACTACTGGGCTCTTGCTCTTTTCTGCTGCTACAGACAGACTAACACGGCTACACATCTTGATATAAACCCATTTTGTTGTTTCTTCCAGAAAGAAAAGGTTAGAGATAGGGTTGTCATATGCACACAGGTAGGACAGCAGACTTCCTGCCTGTAGCAGTTGTTGCCCAGTGGCCAGTAGTAAAAAAAAATAGTAATTACAAAATCACCATCAGTGACAACTTAACATCACTTCCAGGAAAACCCTGGAAAGGACATCAGTTCTCTCCAGGAAATGTCAGAAGCTCTATGGTAAAATCATAGAATTGTTGGTGACTTCTAGAGGGGCCTGATGACATTTCCAGGGAAAACCCAGAGGTGACATCAGAGATAACTATGTCACGCCGCCACCAACAGTATGCCCTCTCTCCCTGTCTCCCACTGATTGCTGGGCATAGCCTATCAACCCTGGTTACAGATGGGACATTAACTACATTGAAAGGGCACAGCAACTCAAGTATTCACTGCTCTGCCTTCACAAACAATTCTGCTCAATAAAGGACCCAGGTCCTTTCAGCCTGCTAATATTTCTCATGTAAAAGAAAGGTCTCAGCTGAGAGCTGACAGGTACATTTAACTAAACTAAATGGTACAAACCTAACACAATGGTAACAGTTACTTCTTATTGGGTGAGAGAGATTTTGTTTCTATGTTCAGTTTAAAAATTCTACACAGAAAAAAGCCAAAGAAGGGTATTTCTTTGTGCCCAAAAGTTGAGACAGTCAAATAAAATAGATGTCACTGAAATTTCAGGCATGTTTAGTTTCCCTTTAGACAGAAGAAAAAAGGTTTTGCGTTTTAAGGGCTTTAAGGGTTTTAAGGACAAAAATTATGCTTCTACCTAACCAGCAAGAGCAGAAGTAAAAGTATAAAAATTTGGAAAGCCTTAAATTTCCTGGTGGCAGCCATATATACATAGTAGAATAAAATAAAGAACACTTTTAAAGGGAAACCAGTCCTCAAGAATAAGGAGGTCGTCACACCCTTTAGACAGAAGAAAAAAGGTTTTGCGTTTTAAGGGCTTTAAGGGTTTTAAGGACAAAAATTATGCTTCCACAAATCAAAATTTTCACTTAGCAGGCATTCTTCTATCTGGGGAAAAATTCCATGGGAGCATCTGCTACAGTGAAAAACAAAGAGTTGTATGTCAACATAAAGAGACTCATGAAACCCCAAGAATTCACTTCTGAGGGCTAAGGCCCATTTTATTTTACTAGATGAAATGAACTCTAGTTCACAAAGGTTGTTTTTAAGGCACCGTAAGACTCTTTTTCGCTCAGCTACCTGGAAACAACTATGGTGATCATAAATTGATCATAAATAAATAAATAGAACACAATATGGCAACAAAACATAAAAAACTGAACTGGACAATGTTTGGTGGCATTTGTGTGAGAAAATATTCATTATGAAAAGGAGCTGTTTAAAAAGTGTACTTTAAAAGGGAATCGGTCAGTAGCTATATTACATTTGAGAGGATTGTCATACAGGGTGCACTCCCCTGAGGAAAGCACAAAAGGAGGGCAAAAGAAGAGAATGAAAGTGGGAA